AGGCAAGATAACATCACAGAGGGTTAAGATAACACTGTCACATTTCTTTTGCCATAGGCCTTTGGTATTTCACATTGCATACCTGGTAGTGGTCCTTCCACTCTGATCAAAGGAATTTTTGGGAAGACAATGCTTCCCTCCAACATAGCACTTAGAGTAACCTTACTTGTGTCTATATCTCTCAGAAACTTGTAAAAATCTTCTTCCACTGTTGCTGGTAATATTGTTTTGAGATAAGATATATCTGAAATTTAAATGAAAAGATATTTGTGAATCAGTTTTGTTATGAACAGCACTTTATGTAATTTGTGATAATCGGTATTGACACAAATTAATATTTTGCCGACACGGAACAGAGAACTGGGTGCGAGCGTAGTACGCGAAGGCTCATGGGTAGTATGTTTGTAAGAAGAGACCGTTGAGAAACTTGTGGCATTCTACGGTCAGCCTTGCCACTAGCACTTTCCCATAAGGTTTATTTTTATTGTGTAATTAGCCTGATATGATTTGTTTTCTTCATTCTCTTCATTGTTTATAGATCAACCTTAAAACCCCAAAGGTGGCACCACTGCAGTTGGTCAGGGGTACACGGTCCCTATTTTCCTAACAAGAGGTTTTTGGGGTTTACGTGTCCGGCTTTGGCGCATGTAGGATGTTACTTGATGTATCTCTTATCCACTTTGTTGTAAACTCATTGTCACAATTAAAATATATCTTGGGCCTAGCTGACCAATGCGCCCATGCCTCAACCTTTGAGTGTGTTCGGTTGTGTAGTGAAGGCAAAATATGAGGTGGAAGCCATAAAGGCCTGTGTTGATTGAACAGACTTCTTTAGCCCTAAAACTTCCAAGATCTATTTGTTAGTTCTCCCTTCTAACTGCTACAAATTTCCTTGTAAATAGGTTTGAAGAATTTGGTGTTAGATCGAGATAACAACTTCTACCTGATAAGTTTGGGTATTCTCATTACCTGTTTGCTGGATAATATATGAATGTTAAAGAAGAAGTTACATATGTTACATGTTAGTCACTTCTGGGAGTGTCAATTGTCTATTATGGATTTAAGTTCTTCCCTGGGGCTATGGGAGCAAATTTTAGAACTAACCTCTACCCTAAATCATGTGACAAACAAAAAGCACTGTTTTCGCGTGACCATGTGACCATCATCGACTTTGTTCTGTACAAACAAACACGATTCGATTCAAAAGAAAAAGATTGCGCCTAGCATGGTCAAGTCGGTAAAACTGTTCATAATTAACTGCTGGGTAGCTAGTTCGTCTAAACTGTGGTAGATCGATAATTATCAATAATTAATGTTGTAGTCTTTCCCTTGTTTATAAATATTCCACGGGTATCCGGTTCCACAGTTAATTTAGAATTGAACTGGATTTTAGTTGAACGATTATGATCAGAAAAAGTAAACTTATTAGTTATCTTAAAGCAGCTAGTAAATCTCGATGACGAATAACTGTTTAAATATTTACCTGAATCTGAAAACTTGAAGTTTCTTACAAAATGAACGCACTCTTCCAGCCCAGCGAAAACCGTGAATTCTCCGTGGAAAGGATTCCTGCGAAAGTACAAATCGAATACTGCATTGTCCAATACTTTTCCGCTCTTCCAATAAGCATAAGCCATTGTGATTTGATAAAGATCCGTTAACAAGGGTTGAACCAAAGGGTTCGAATTCGTTCTATCTTCCACAGCCGCCATCTTGAGGTTTCTTGGAAAATGACAATGCTCAGCCGCCCCTCCCTCACCAATGCTGTTTGTCACATACGGGACTTAAACGCATCCGGTTTGCGGTTCTGAATGAAAGTGCCAGAAGTGAAGTGTTTATGTGGTTGTCGGTTGGAATCTTACTGCAATTTGACGAGGATTTTCGCTTCATTTGAATTACTTTGATCCATCAGAATTAATCTGTAAGTATTATAGTACCTTTCCGTGTTTCAACAAGGGTTATTCTAGTATTTTTTTACTCTAAATTCGCTCGGTTTTGATTTGGATTATTTTTTCGAATCGAATTTGATAACATACGAGCCCCTGCTAATATTTATTTTACTAGACCTTTTTACCAAAATACCTGTGTATAAAGCTATCCTTTGTTTCTGTGGGGAAAGAACTATTGATTTTAATGGAAACTGTGTAATCTTTTGCCTCTAATCATCTTTCTTTGAAAGCTCAGGAATATTTATGTTAAATGATTCACTTTCACACCAGGCTTAACTCTGTAATTTCTTAAGTTTCAAACATCTTGCTGTACGGCTTTATGAGAAACGTCCTAAGATTATTAAATTGATTTTATTTTTTAAGCGACAGTTCAAAGCGAAAGGACATTTTATGCAGCTATGATTTTCTTAGAAAACAATCTGGATATGACGAAAAAATTAATTCATCGAATTTCGTCACTGATTTGCGAATGATGTCATTAAGACATCCGATGAGCGTTGTCACTGATTTTAATTAGCGGTTGTGGTTGCATGGAAAGATAAACACGAGAATGTGAACAATAAGCAGCCATCTTTACTGGCTGAACTTGGTCAGTAGGAGGGTAGTTATTTCAATGAACCATAACAGCAAATTTTCTTTTTTTTTTTTTTTTCAATGCAAAATGATTTCACAAGATTTAATCTTATTAATTTAATCGTCACAAGTAAATACGTCTAAAGAAGAGGAAAAAAGAGGAGTTTTTGACAGGGTAAAGTTACAGGACAAAGTCCCAGTTAACAACTGCTCCTTAACCCTTCAACTCCTATTACAGGGCGTGAAATTAATTATTTTTTCTGATAGCCACTTGGCTCCTAAATTCTTCAAAGTGGTAGCCAATTCAAAAAAAGTTGGTCGCCATTTTCAAAGACAAACAAAATCTTTCTTTATGCTGTCAGCGTTCTAGAGAGACCCTCCAAAATTAAGTTAGGGAAAAGATCCTTAATGTTCTACAAAGTGGACACTAGGATGGATGATATACAACATTAAAGCTCATTTAAATCCAAGATGGCGTTTAGTTATCGATCGAGATGCATGTGCTACGTTTTGGAAACAAACTTAACGAGGAAGTTTGCCGCGGGTTTATATTTGCAAATCTTTTTAATTCACTATATCTCTTGGTAAGGTTATGATGAAACGTTCTAGTTGCCAATTTGGCGACTAACTTTCAGGATTTGGTCGCCAAAGTGAAAAATTTAGTCGCATTGGCGCCTGTATTAGGCGCAATTTCACGCCCTGTATTTCACGCCCTGTATTAGTGACCAAAAGAGAACTTCTCCTTTTAACATCAATACAATATCAAGCAGGCAAGTGATAAGAATAAAGGAAAATATCAGTGAAGGGATTATTAGCTGATCCAATACCAAATTCTTCAAAGTAACATCATAATAACTGTGTGGTTAAAAGTAAGGAGAATTGCTAATGAGATCTTGGAAGTAAAAGTGTAGATCATGATTTCTCTCCTTTTAAGGATGGCAGAATGTGAAGTGGTGGTAGATGATTTTGTGAGGACAGGAAGGACTGGCCGGCGGAACGCTCTCCCTGATGTATTTGCTGTTGGACATGCAAATGTGACAACAGCAGGACTTCCTGAAGTCCTGGAAAATTTTTCCATCAGTTCTTCAACTCAGCCAGCATGCAATGGCACTTCAAGCTCAGAGAACCAGCCTCAGATGCAGAAATGAAAGTGGATATTTGCTGCGGCAAACTTTTTATAAATTATTTGATACCTTGTTGACTTACTATTCTCAAATGGCATCATAACTTGACTTGGTTCACGAATAACTTTTTTGTCGGTTGATGGGGGTGGCAGTCTTTTTTCATCCTCAAGGATTTGATTTTTATTGTTGAAAGGAAATTGCTCTGAGATGGTGTTACATGCAAGTTCTCCTAAGGAAAGGGGGACCAACTACTGTATGAAAATTCATATTGTGGCATCAATGCCAATTCTGATGAGAAGACATGACAGATTCTGCTGAAAACTGATTATCTGCCTTAATTAGTCTTTTGAGGAATAATCATGAAGAAATGTTTACTACTTTGTGATTTCTCTTTGTCATCTGATGAATTGCATTTTGTTATTTATATTCTTTACTAAATTATGTATTTCAGTTCAAATTCAGTCACATTTCTTTCTGCAATGTTCAGTTGCATTGAACAATATGGCCATTTCATGTGGCAGAGAATGTAGCTTAGTGATAAAATACTAAGACACATTTTGATCCTTTTTTGAAAATAAGAATCAATAAATTTGTTCATGACATCAGTTCACATTCAACCAGGAAGCACAATAAAGGCTATGTCCTAAATACTTAAATCCACTTAGGAGTAGTCAATTGCACAGGGATTTATTAGAGATCTGACTTTGCTATGTGAAAAATTGTAATGTGCTCATTTGAGTTAAGGAAAGAGGACAGTTCAGTTATAATGATCTTTTTAATTAGCTGAGATCTCAGTTATCAAGCTGGAAGATCTTTCTGATAAAGACTCCATCTAAGTTACTGTGGTGAAACTTGAAATTTTGTATTTTGTTAGTCCAGGTAACTTGGGTGTCATGTTTAGTGTGAATTGTAACAAGGCTGAAATCTTTCCTTGATGAATGGGCTCACAACAGACTGTTAAGTAAATTAATTTATGTCATACAACAAAGTACCATTCTAAGCTTGGTATTAAAAAAATTTTTGTTATCTAAGAAACAGTGATTAACTTTCTTAGGCAAGTACATACCTCAGTAATTTATTCTCAGCTTTCATATATCAAGTATGTGTCTTAAATTTTTATGAACATTTGATTTAAATTAAGTATTGTTCATTGATGATATTGTAAATATTAGAGATTGAATATTGAAATGAATTAAAAGCAGTTTCTCAACTTGAAACGAAATGCTGTTTCTCCAATTGCAAAAAGAGGTGAATAGAGAAAAACAGTTCAGGTAATTCCCCCCCTTTTTTTTTGAGCAGTCAAAAGAGAATTTGTGCCTCTTTCTAAAAATAACTCTTCCCCTTTTCCCACCAGACCATAATTTGAATTCCAATTAGTGGCGATCCAAAAGATTCTTATTGACACTATCAACTTTAATATTTTGTGAAACAATAAAGATTCTATCATCAAATAGCTTTGGTCACAAACTGAGGCAAAAATTTCTCTTAAACTTTGTAACAATAGTGGAACATTAAATGAAAGTACTGCTGTGTGACCATGTGCGCAATGTCTTCTGTAGCGGGAGTTATTTCGTGCAATTCGACGTGCTCTTGCTAATGGGGTGTCCGCTCGGGAAAGGGTTAGAGTTGTGCCCAGTCTCACCATTCTGCTAACGAGGTAGCCTCGTTCGCAAGGTCCTTCCTGAGGGAGGAAGAGTGAGGGTCCTAGGAACGAGGTTGGCATGGACTTGGAAGCCAACCCTTATGACCAATAAGAGTGCTGAGCAATCAGAGTGAAAACCAATCACGCTTCAGTGCGACAATAAGGGTACGGACGTGGTTATGGAAAAAAATAAAACCCTAAAATTTACAAGTTCGTTAGATCCAACCGGCAAACATTTCTGTGCGGTCTTACTTGCTTACTGCTTATTTTTTAAATATTCTACAGTACTAAAATTTTGTATTCACCCACAGAACGTAGTTCCACACGCTGCAAAAGTGACCTGCACCTCGAAACTTGCGATGCCAATAAAGCGAAACTTGACGGAATTAAGCGAAATCAGGCGCAAAACTTGAGAAATTGGTCGGAGCTGTTCAAACTCAGACGCTAACGTCGGAAATCAGGCGGATGTAAATCAGTGTCTGGCCTATTTGATATAGATGTTTAGTTTTGAAGGCTACGCGCGCGATCTTCAGTTTGCTTATAAAGGTGGCGGAAACAAATTAAATATAATATGCGGTAAGAATAATTCGCTCTGTCTTTTATCCCGAATTAAACTTCTTATGTTTGCATAGCACAAGAGAACTTTTGTGGTCTCAACTATCCTTGATGGAATGTTGTTTGCTTTGTTGTTTCGATACAAAGGAATGCGAAAGACGGTAACAGGGTTGCAGAATGATAAACAATAGTGCATTTTGGGGTCGCAAATTAGACGGCAGAGTTGAGCGGAAACTTTTACAACAATGGGTTGCTCGCGAAACTTTCCTCGAGGTAAAATCGAGCAAAGTATTACGATTTGCTTGGACAAAATTGTGCTTTCTGAATGGCGTTCATCAAGTTAATTTTGAGTTTTCACTCAATAGGTTTTAATTGTCTTTTGCAGTTGGCCTAGGTGACGCATACTATGTGGATTTCTGGTTGGCTGTACTCGCCGAGTACTTGGCAACTTTCTTTTTCATGTTTGCAGTTTCGGGTTCCTCACTGAGATGGGAAGGCGCGCCTACAATTTTTCAACAAGCTCTTGCCGCTGGGTTTGTCACAGCTTCAATGATTCAGGCTTTCAGATCTGTGAGTTTGCCACTTGTCCATGCAAATCCAGTTGTGTCACTTGCTGCTTTCATAACCGGAGATGCTGGTTTCATACAAATGATTTGCTCAGTTGTGGCGCAGGTTTTCGGAGGTAATTCAACATTCATCGCGTTCTTTCATCCTTAGCGAAAATCAGTTTATTTACAAGCCCAGGCAGCTCACCAACAAATTCACCTCGTTTGGGTCGTTCATAATGGGGTATCAAGATTTTGAGAGAATCGCTTGACCCCTAGAATGCAGTACTTTTGATTTTCAAGGTGTAACTTAAATATGCGCTCTTTTCACTGGAATTACTGTAAATTTTTAATTAAGCGCGAAAACATTCAGATAATTAGGTCAAATGAACTTGTCTCTTCTAACGACCATGGCATGTTAAGTGTATACCATGTATCCGGCTGATTGACATTTTGTACAAAAATTTGATCAGCTTAAATAAAGAATTGGTTGTCATCAACTACGAATCTACGGCGAGTGCTAAGACTTGCAGTAAGCTGCTACTCTTTACTAAGAGCGAAATTTACCAAACATCGCTGCAACTCTCTGACTTGTCGGTTGCATAATTTCAATCTGCTTTCTTAACACTGACTTATATTCCACCTCCCGCAGATGACACGAAACTTGTTTTCGTTTATAAAGTATTCTTAAATTGGCCTAATAATAAGTAACCAAGCTGACTGAAAACGAAAAACAACTGAAATCTCGCTGAAACAATTTATTTCTAAACCAGAAAAGAATGATAATATGATAATTATTTTCAAGGTTTTGGAGTGTTTCTGTGTTTTCATCGCAATCAATAAATTTGATACTGGCTTTATTCTTTAAGGCTGCAATGGTGGCATTTTGTATCTTAGTATTCATTCATATATTTATTTATTTACTATTTATGATCGATAGCCATAACCGGCACTGGTGTTGTGATGGCAATAAGCCCTCAACACGCCCGAGGCAAACTTGGGGCGACTATACCGGCAAAAGAAGTGAGTGGTTTCCAGGCCTTCGGCGTTGAGTTGGTTCTGACGTCACTACTGGTACTGACTATGCTGGCTTCTATTGATGCCAATAAACAAGCAGCTCGCAGGGATTATGGGACTGCTGCCGCCATGGGCGTGGTCGTCACGGGCTGTTATCTCATTGCGGTAGGGTTCTATCGTGAACGGATTGCATTGCCCTATATTCAACATCGCTTTGTGATTGACCGAAAGACTCGCTTCACGCTCGATACAAATAAGATTGAAAATTGAAACTCTTTTCGATTTGCTTACTTGCGTTTTCTCACTCTTAAGGCTCTTTTTAAATTTTTTTTATCTGATTTTGATATGATATTGGCTACTGGTAACATATGAAATCAAACATACATCTCTTGAATGGCAAGCAAAAATTTCTTCACAATTTACGATATTTTTCCCTTGTCCTTAGCTACCGCTGACCGGTTGTGGATTAAATCCCGTAAGATCCTTGGCTCCTGCTGTTTTCACAAACTCTTGGGAACACCATTGGGTAAGTGCGCTTTCATTTACTTCGAAAAGGACCTTCCTCCGTCCATTCGGAGGAGAAGAGGTCAGATGGTCATATCTAGGTTAGAATCTAAACTGGGCCTTTGTACAGCGTTTTTAGGAGGAAAAGTTGTTGAATAAATTCCATGTTGCCGTGCGTCTGTTAATGAGTGACTGCTAGATGACGTCTGAAATGAAATAAGAACAAACAGGCAGCTTACGATTCGCAGCCGAGTGTGTCACTGATGTTCTCATCAAATATGAAATTTCTGTAATATATTACTCAACAGACGCACGGAAAAATGAAGTCTATTTGTTTTATATGATAAGAAGGCAGGATTTTGTCAATGGTAACGCCATCTGTGCGTCTGTCTTCTAAAAGATCATAAGTAAGAACAAATCAAAATGCCTGTGTAGCACAGGCGACTATATACAAGACTTTACTCACCCAGCTTGTTTTTATTCGTTTCTAGGTTTACTGGGTAGGACCAATCTTAGGCTCTCTGTTGGCAACGTTTCTCCATTGTCTCTTGTTTAGGAGACGCGAATATAAGCGACAACCGCCAACTCCTCAGAATGAAAACGAGTACGACGATATTTTATCATCTTAAACTGTAAAAATTTTTTTGATCATCCAACTCCTACGTAGCACACCTATTTCGGAGTCCTATAAATAACCGCAAACTTATTTTTGTTCTTGATGAGACTATATTGGCAGTATATATCTTGCGTCTTATAACATAAAGTTGATAACCTACATATCCTGGTTCGTTAAATGTTACGCTTTTAATTTTCAGAATATCAAACCGGAGCGACTGGCCATTTTTTCAAAATTATTCGCGCATAACAATAGTTCTTTTATGATATTGAAATACCTACTGATCGAATTTATTTGCTCTTAATCTCTTTCTTTCGAAGATCAAGCTAAGAGACTGCTTACCAAATATGGGCCTAAATTAACTCATTCCAAACAGAATCCGTTTAAAGCTATTTTTTTCGACAAGGGATATATAATTTTGTTCTTCGGGAATGATTAATGTGATCTGTTTTTCGCGTTTTGCTTAAATGCTTCGATAGAGAATGAATAAGTACCGGATGTGGTGTTCACGTGTATAAACCTGGTTCTAGGATTGGTTAATTCTGAGCGCGGGTGTGAGAAAGTAGACATACATAGGTACCAGAAGAAGTGAAGAAGGTACCAGCCTGTCAGCTTCGTTCTCTCCATGATGTATCATTCGCTTGCATTTTTTAATAAATTTTATCTACTAAAGTGAAAACTATGTCTCTTTCGTGAGTAATCGAGAGATTCATTTGCCTTCCTGTTACTTCTGTAGCTCTTTGGAGCCTCACGGGGCACGAGATGTGAAATTTCCGTTTCGCGCACCCAAATCAGTGTGGGGGGAGGGGAGGGTAAAACTTTAGTCCCCCGCCTTATTTTTAGTCATTCAGTTATGTGAGATAAGCAATTAATTTAACCACATTAACCGAATTAGAAAACTTCAAGGAGAATCTTTCCGGCTAAAACTAAACAGCTAAACGGATCTTTACAAACAAAAATTAAAATTTTGAAGTAACGGTACCCTGAGAAAGAGATATATGACCCTGGCAATATATCGGCGATCTTAATTGCAAAAAAACCTTGCCCAAAATCTTTTCCGCTCTTTGCTATGTTATTTTCGAAGATTGTAATGAACTAACTGGTGATTTGTTCTAAGCGCATGAAATTAAACTCGTCAACAGTTTGTCTTCACGAGTTCGACGGACGTCTTTATCAAAACCCAACCAAATTAACTCGCACTTGTTTCAAGACTGGCTTTGGCAATAAACTCAACGAGTTGGCAATAAACTCAACGATGCCAAATGAAAAAAAACGCCGATGGATGCATGAAGATCTCAGTTGCTGTGCACTTCACTACGTTGTGATTACGAATGTAAACAGCAGGTGCCAGAGCAGGTTTTAAATCGACGAGTTCATCTCTGCTCCTAATTGTTTTTCAAGGCGATCAAAAATGAAGAAAGCTAAAGACGGGGCCACAAGAAGACTCAGGATCGCTAGTGTTCTCTGCTTGTTTTTCATGACTGTGGAATTTGTAGGTGAGAGTTCTCATTATTAAAAGAGTATTTTCTTTGGTAAAACACCGCCAGAATCACAGAATATTTTTACTTCAATTTATAAATCATGTTTACATCTGGTCTATTATAAAGGAACACAACATAACATGGTTTTTTTTCCCAGCCCGATCCCTGCAGCAAATAATGATTGCTATATATCATAATGAAACGATGCTTTTTAGCTGTGAGAAGGAAATTTCGTATACAAGGGCTACACCAAATCTTGTACACATGATCTCACGCGCTCTGACAATTTAAATTGCACCAGGGCTTTTAATGAATGAATGAATGTGACACTTGATCAAGTGATAAATAGAACCTGATCAGAACACATGTACACAGAAAAATATGGTGCTCCAAGGGGAAACAAACTCTGAATTTGATGTGCATGCTAGAGCATTTACACTAAAATCTCATTGTTCATGTCGGCCTTGGCAAAAGCTATCGATGATCGATGATTCTTGCTCGAGTACCTCTTTCTTTTCTGGATATCAATTTTGCAGATCCAAAATTCACTACTTTGATTTGTTTCCCACGAGATCAAAGACATGTAAGCATTAATTTATTAAATAAGCAAGAAATACTACGAATATTGAGACGCAAAAAGGTTATGGGTAAAAAGAAATTGAATACCAAATTCCTGGCAAGCAACTCTTAAAATGATAAAACTCATATTATTGAGATAGCGTGCAGTCAATCAGTAAGGATAGAAATGGTACAACCCCCACCATAGCTAGATCAAGAGTTGCTGGTGCCTTACACAGAAACGTACATACAAAGTACTGCCGACACACCAATCTACGAATTAGGAGGTAATTCAAAGACAAACATGCGCATCTGTATTCCAAGCCAAGCGCGCTTGAGTTGTCAAAGAAAAATTGTATACTACTCGAATTAACAGAAAAAACGTACGAAGGACTGGGTGACGATTACTTTTATCAAGACCCTTTCAATCTTCTTGAGAGTGCTCTTTGATGATAGAGCAAACTTCTTCCTTAACAAATTTTTCTCTAGAAAAATCTACTTCTTCAAAATCAGGCATAACGTGAGTCTCGGAAAAATTTTGTTGCACTTTTGCAGCTACACTGCCTTACAAACTTGTGGAGGAAAATTTGGTGAAAGCTTGATCGCACACAAGAACGTCAGAGTATTTTCTAAGCAAAAGATGATAACTTACGGCCCAAATTTCCTGTTTAATTTTTTAGGGGGATATTTTGCTAACAGTCTCGCTATCATGACGGACGCAGCTCACTTGCTGTCGGATTTCGCGGGTTTCATGATCTCGTTGTTAGCTCTGTGGGTGGCAACCAAGCCTGCCACTACGACTCTGTCTTTTGGCTGGCATCGCGCAGGTAAGATTTTTAAACATGTATCTGCAAAGGCGTGAGAAAAATTCTGCATGCGAATGCAAACAAAAGCAACTTAAAAGAGCTACTGGTGTATTTTAATCTATTCTAGCTCATAGCCGAAAGTTTTCCTCGAGGTTAACAGATAATGTCCGCGGAAAAATTTCCGAGCATAGTTTCGCGCCAAATGGAGGCTATTGTTTGTATATTTGAAAGCAAACTTCTCACATCTGTTTTCAGAGGTGATGGGTGCAGTCATGTCCGTTCTGTTTATCTGGGTATTAACTGGAGTCTTAGTTTACCTAGCAGTTCAAAGAATCCTCAGTAAACAATATGAAATAGATGCCCAAGTCATGTTACTAACTGCGTCAGCGGGCCTCATTATAAACATCCTGTAAGTTGCTAATTAATGTTTTTAAAATCTTGCAGTTTGAGACAAAGTGAACATGAGTTAAAGATATCTCATCGTTAGGAGATATATCCAATTTCGTAGAACTCTTTTACCTTACATAGGTCGAATCCTTTAAAAATCCGCCATGATGTTTCTTAAAAACATGCATACAGTCCTGTATGAGATGAACTCTTCAGTTAAATTCAGTTCCTTGTTTTGTTGTATTTAAAAAAGATATATCTGCTGCATATTTAAATTAAAACGAAAGTGCAGCGTTTCTTTCAGCATGGCTTTCTCTCGCCTTTCGTTATCGTGCCGTCACGATTCGTTACCATGGAGACTGGTTGTCCAGTTCCAATCCCTAATGGTGCCTACAAGAGCAAATTGTTTGTCACCAGACCCCCAATTGTAACATGATCCCAGCTTATATTTTGTCAAATTAATTGTGAACCAGATTAGGTGTCATACTTCATCAGAAAGGCCATGGACACAGCCACGGATCCCATCCTAAAAAAAAGAAAGGCAAAACGAAAAAGTCCCAAGTCTCACCATCAAGTTTCATCATTTTAGAAGAAGAGGAAAATGTAAATGTGCGAGCGGCGTTTATTCACGTACTTGGCGACTTCTTACAAAGTATAGGCGTATTTATAGCAGCTCTTCTCATTTGGTTTAAGGTAAGGTTTTTATAATGGCTTGGGTAGAAGACTGGTTAGAAGAAGAGGAAAATGTAAATGTGCGAGCGGCGTTTATTCAGTACTAGGCGACTTCTTACAAAGTATAGGCGTATTTATAGCAGCTCTTCTCATTTGGTTTAATGTAAGGTTTTTATAATGGCTTGGGTAGAAGACTGGTTTGTCGCGCGTGTTTTCACATATTCTCGTAAAGCTACTCGTTTCAGCTCACTGTGGGCCACTGTGGACAATGACTTTTTCTTGTCACTTGATCTTAAGAAACCACGGGCTTAAGGAACGACCCAAAGTCGGGCGAGCGAAAGGACCTAGGAACCTGCACTCACGAAGTCACTATAGCGCTCGCTAACTCAATCCCGTAAACGTTTCCACGAACCAACTGCATCATGGGGAATACGGGAGGGCCTGACTTTTTCCAGCATATCTGCTAATATTTAACTTTCCATCGAGAAAAATTGGAAGAGACTGGTAACGAGTCCGCCGAGACAGTACATAGTTTTTCACACTTCATCTGTGAAACACAGATTTTAGAAAATTGGCCATGTCGTTTGTACCATATTTCAATGAAAGTTGAGTTAATATTGTATGTTTATTATTTTGCAGCCTTCATGGGCCATCGCAGACCCTATATGCACATTTATATTCTCTCTGATAGTTTTAGGAACCACATTAGCTATTTTGAAAGATGCTTTAATTGTGCTCATGGAGGGTGAGTACATTACCATCTGTTTACAAAAGGGAGAAAACCAAAGAAACAAAGATAAAAAAAAGTTTAATCGTGAATAATAATTGTGAGTCTAAATCTTAATTCTGAGAACCGAGACCCTCGGCGTCTATCCTTTTAGACAGCAAAATACAGATGGGTCTGTTTTCATTTTCTAGGAGTTCCAAAAGGGTTGAATTTCCACATTTTAAAAGCAAGCCTCTTAGACATCCCGGGAGTATTAGCTGTTCATGATCTTCACGTATGGTCCCTAACAGTGGGAACGACTGCCATAGCGGTTCATCTTGTTATAGGTGAGTTTTATGGAAATGTCCCGTCCTTCTGGTCTAACAAATCTGGTTTAGCCAACTACTTCTTTCTCGAGTCGGTCGAGATTATCCATCCGTCTGCCCTTTATTCTGTGCCTGTTGGCGTGTCTTCCTATGAGTGAGCTATTTGTCTAGTGTATTGGTCTATCCGTCTGGTCCCTGTCTTTATGTCTGTCTGTCCGTGGTCTCTCTGTCTGCCCGTTCGCCTCTATCTGTTTGACTGTCCGTTTGTCTGGCTATCATTCTGTCAAACCGACCGTCCGTCTGCGCATCTTTTTGTTCTTCTGTTTGTCTGTCGTTCTGACCAGCTGGTCGTTTATTTCTTTATTTACATGGTTTGCATGTTAGTCTGGTCTGTCTAGCTGTGTATCTGTTCAATGTTCTGTACAATTCTTTTCCATTTGTCTCTGATGTTTGTCGATTTGTCTTTGTCTGTCTGAGTACATTTTTTTTTCTATCGATCCGTCTTCAAAATGTGGAATATAAAACTTCTGCATGCAGGTAAATCTGAATTAGGAAAATAACATGTGGTCTTAAAGGGCAATTTATAAACGTCATTAATTGTAGTCAAAAGCCTGTTAACGTTTCCATTTCTATTCAGATGATAGCTGTAGTTCACAAGCAGTTCTGGAAGAAGCGTCACGAATCTGCAGTCAAGAATTCGACATACAGCATAGTACAATACAAGTCGAGACATCGAGCGAGAAAACTGCCGAGTGTATTCAATGCGACGAACCTAGCAAGTGACAGCGTTACAGCACGTGAGGGATCTTGGGAAATATAGCCGCTGGACGGCGGAAGGCACGAACGTCGACTCTTATGAAGATGTAGGTCATATGATCGAGCTTGTTCCTTCTTATGCTTTGAGAAGATTCAGCAAAAATAGCTCAAGTTGGTCATTTGAAATTCGTGTCAATCTTCGGCCACTCGACTCTTCTACATTCTTGCTCAGTCTTTCTCGTTATTATACCTAACGCCCTTCTGTTTGAACTACATGCTTACGTTTCGTGGATTCCTTCACTTTAGCGACAGATCTCTACGGAGCAAAAAATTAAAGTAAAATGTCGACATTTAAAAAGATAGGAATACATCGCCGCTCTTAATAATATTAATTGCTCTTCTCCAAGGGGGTCTGTTTGTTCATCAAGAACCTAGTCAACGCCATCCGCGTCAACCGCTGACAGAAACAATACTTCTCCGAGACGGTTAAATTAGTATAACTTCAAACTGTGCTTCAAACAACTTAGTTTTAAGGTCTACTGAAGAAAACCTTACAAATGTGGTAACGTAACGGGAAAGATCAAAGGAAAGTTTTCTCCACATTTTAAATCTAAATGAAAGTCTAGACCCAAAACACTCGTAAAGTTTTCTAAGAAAAAGTTAACTTAAAAGCTAGTAAACAATAAAGATTTCATCAAGATAGATATAACATGGGAGCCTCCGCTTAGGAAAATTAAATTTTACTTCTCTTGATGTCATGGCTTTTATGTGTCCTAACTGTGTCCCGTGAAGGCAAACAAAAATTCTGCAGCTAGAGGTGGGATCAGTGAAAGACGTACTACAGAGCTCGAAATAACGGCCGGTCATGAGCAAATGTTCGGCCAAATATAGGCATCGCCCGGTCAACTCCTAAGATGGCCTGACATTTTGTCCGGTTGATTAAGTACGTAGAGAACAATTCACTTCCAAGCTAGGATGCAATCATTTATTGTTATTATTAGCATTCCCGAAGAAAAAGAGGGAAAGACGATACTAACAGGCTAAGAACTTTTGATAAGTGACGGTGGTCGCAAATGTTAGCACGGTCATTCATCAATTATTTGTCATCGCAAATTTTATCGAGTGAAGACGGTTTCGGTTTCAACACTATTGTCGGATTTACACATTAGTGTCCGATTTTAGATACTTGTGTCAGATTTTTCTTGCATTCACTTCGAGGTTAATTATACGTGTTTCATAAGCGGTGGCGTAATGCGTATTTTCCAGGCCAAAATTGGGTTGTTTCCGTGCAAAAATAGGTTTGACCACCAAAATTGACCGGCGCCAGCAGGAAAATAATTTCAAGTCTTGCACTAAAAATTTAGGAAAGAGATATCAGGGGAAAATAGATGTCGAAGTGGCCCATCCCACCCATTCTACTCAAAAAATATCCCTTGCATGCAGAGCTTGCCAATTTTTATTTAACTATTCACAAATATGTCTTCATTCGCTTATCTTAAAAAGGTTCATTTGTACATTGTCATCTCCTCGATCTCTTGGTATCTGAGTCTCTGTTGTCGTAAAACCAAACCCGTTTATTCCCTCCTCGGCGTTGCCTTCTGTCTCGTTCCATTCGTCGATTCTCTTCATCGTCTCTCATCCCTCGTCTCGTACCATCCTTGAAGTCTGCTTTATTTTCGCGCTCCTCTTCAGGCATGTCTCCAACATCAGAATTATTACCAGTAATGCCGTGTTCTTCTTTGTACTGCATTTCTAATACGTGCATTTGCGTCTCGATAAGGTCTCGCATTACCTGCAAACAGAGGACCTAAGATAAAGGATTGCTTACAAAATAACAGCACAGGGTATCCCGTAATACCTTGGCTCACAAGCTGTCTTAATAAGAAAGCATAGGGTCACGCTTTATCTAGAAACTGACAGTTCGCGGTGTCACGCGTCGCTTTAGCTCACACACTAGCTTGAATCAGGTGGTATAAGGTAACGCATTATCTATCAACCGACAAGAAGAAGTGTCACGCACTACCGGAGAACATACACCCCATTAAGACCGACAACATAAAATGCATTTAGCATTACGTCACCCATTGCTAAGGTAGATTTAGACAGATTTATGGTACGAATCTCTTAGTGCCAACTTGAAAGAATTAAAGTCCGTCTGTCTGTCTGTCTGTCTATCTCACCGTCCGCTTGTCTGTCTGTCCGTTCGTATGTGCGTAATCACGTGCGTCAGTCCGTCCGCCTGCCTGTCTATCTCATCGTCTGCTTGTCTGTCCATCCGTCCGTATGTGCGTAAGCACGAGCGTCAGTCCGTCTGCCTGTCTGTCTGTCTATCAGGATGTAATTTCAAGCTTAAAGCGGATGTTCCTTACGTTTTGGGGATGGCTTAGATCAGATTTGAGTGTGGCCCGTGATTTGACAGCCGATTCATACCTCTACAGCACTCCTTTTGGTGATGTGTACATTTTTCGCCCGGTAGCTTTGTCGCCGACGTTTGTAGTCACGCTGTTCAGCTAACACTTCAAAATGGGTTTTTGGTTGATCACCCTCTGTTCCTACATTCCAAGAGCGTGACATAAATTAGTACGTGACAAAAATTCGAGCGTGACACGTTCGAAAACGTGCATGATTCATTATTTCTTAACCGAAGCATTTTGCAAGAAGCCTACTCATTTTCCGTTGAGCATGCCATTTTTCTTACCTTTGGACTCATTCGAGTCAGAAACAATTTCTAAATCCATCTCCTGTTTGTCTGTTTCTCGTTTTGTCTTTGCAGCCTGTAGAAAAAACAGAAGTCAAGACCGAGGAACCTGGTAACTAATTTTTACAATCAATAACAAAGCATATACCAATATTCAAGGCATGACTCCTAATCTTTCGAGTTCCTCTAACAGTTTTTTTTTGCCAAGAAGACAACAGAGTGATTCGGCCAGAGCTTGGACCCAAACCTCTCGAACAAGTGTCAAGAGCGCGCGGCTCTTTCCAGTTTTGAACGTTTTTCTGATTGAGATGAGCAATTGGTGGAAAACAGAACTAAACCAATCATAGGGTTGAAAATGAAATAAAAGGCAAAGAGAAAGCGAATATCTCCCAGTAATCAGACGAACTCTTCATTTCTGTTGCGCAAACAATCGGGTATTTCGACTGTTACAATGTTTTGCTTTTAGTAGTTGGTGATAAACCATAAGACTCTACATACGGGAAAAAAACATTGCAATCTATCCGTTTTAAGTTACCTATTTCTTGGTAACAAACCTGTATCACGTGCTCATAGACAGTGAGCCGTTGTTGGGGAGAGAAGTCAGATATTACTCGGTCCATCGGGAGAGGTATTTCTTTCACGGGGCTTCCAACAGGTTCTGGGTGGTCCTGAACGTCTGTCTTTGTTTCAAAGCTATTGGCTATGAGGGGAGAAAAAATTGCAAACTCAGTTACTGAGTAGTAGCAGATAGGTTAATATTTCCGACTATAAATTAAGAAATAAAAAATCCACAACAATTGTGAAAAAGGTATCAAGCATGTGCAAACACTACAGTTGCTTGTGACAAGCAAACTTCACATCAATTGAAGGAACGTTATCATGGCATACCTGAAGAATCTTGCGTCTTGTTTTCCATCTGAGACTAAGAGAAAATTAATATAAAAGGTAAGTTTCTTGTACGAGGAAGTGCTTTTGAGAAGATAAGACACGAGATTTTTTCTGACAACAACAAAATATCTGAAATTAGAGTAATGTATTGATATAACTATAGTATACTCACGTAGATGGCAGAGTTTTTCTCCTTGGTAACTGAAACAGCCAGAAACTTCCACAGGTTCAAAACAAAAGCCTTTGTTTCTAAAATAAGCATCAAGCAATGCAAGAGAAAATAAAAAAGTAATACTTAATACACAATGAGTTTGCAAAAAAACCACAGGCCTAACAAAAGCATCTTACCATCTCCTAGAAAATCTTTCAACATTTCTTCCAATCCACTGGGATGAGCAACTTTCTCCTCTTGAAGACAGGACAAAACAAAATCCACCAAATGTTCACTGGCACCATCAACAGAACTGTTTCAAGGGAAAAACACTTATTTACATTGTAACATGCGCAACGTACGATAACCTGGCAAATGTTGTTACTTGCCAAATGTTGTTACTTGCCAACTGACAGTATTCATACCTTCAATCAAGAAGCAGATTTCATTTTCTGACACCTTTTCCCTTTAACTCCCAGAAGTGATCAACATGAAACTTCTCCCTATAATATCCTTACATTATCCAACAAATAGGTAATGAGAATATTCAAACTTATCACTTAGAAGTTGTCATCTTGATCTAACACCAAATTCTCATTACTAATTTACAGGGAAATATGTAGAAGCTAGAGAGGAGAATTAACGATCAGATCTCGGGAGTTAGGGGGTTAAATGTCATAAAATTCCATAAGCAAACAAGCAAAGCTAGTTTATTGTAGACACCTAACAAAAGCCTTGCAGATTTCTGCCACACTTGCTTTGCTTGCTGACTGAAATCACCACCACTCACCCAGCAGCTAATTAGAGTCTGCTTGTTGGCTAAGCTGTACATTTCCTGTAAGCATACCTCAAGTACTGAACTTGTGGTAAGTTCCCAATGATCCAAGTCTTGATTTCCTCTTGTGACAGAAGATGAAGCTCTAGCTGCAATTGAGAGGATGGTATCACTTCCCATGCCATTATTGACCTGCAGCAAAGCATTCAATAATACATGTTGGAAAATAAAAAAGTATAGATCATGAGCTAAAAGGTCTAAGTATACTGTTGATTATCCAAGGCCACTTTTCATAACATGTGAAGCAACTAGTAGCATTGCTAAAACCTGTGCCTGGGATGCTCCACAGTCCCCTGCCATTTTTCAGGTTTAATTCAGTGCCGAAAATTCACTGGTGCCCATTTATACTCTTGGATCGATGGAAAGAGTCCCTATGAGAGAACAAGACACAATGACCCAGCCACGCCTCACACCTGAATCTCTGGACTTGTAGTTCAGTAGTACATTATCCTTTATTCAACTGCATCTCCCACCCCACTGTACAATACTATGACTATTTTGTGTCCAAAAGACAAATGGAAAGTACATGTACATGTATGACAGACTCAACCCACATCTCACCTTATCTCATGTGCTGAATCATTGTGACAAGTCCTCCCATCAACCATCATGCTCTGAGTGTTATGTACAGATCTTTCTTTTGGTGTCAACAAGGAACAACATGTTGGTACTGCCTAAAAAACGACAGAAATCACCTGTGTATGTGTGTCAGATTTCATGCCCCAGTACAGGTATACATGTGCATGCACTGATTTCAATGTTTGGAACACAAAACTTTTTGCCAAAAAAAACTCGTCAAAAGGAAAAAGAAAACAGCTTTATTGAGGATGAAACATGATTTTTATTATTTTCCATACCTTGTTATTGACCCTGATTTGGACTCCAGTATCTAATTTGCCACTAAAAAGACCCATAAATTCAATGGAGAAAAGAAGAAAGCATTTATAAAATATCAAAGGGGGATGTACAGAAAGTTTTAAAACTAATGCAATAGTTCCATCTACTAGTAATAATAATTCTATTTTTTAAAAATTTTTTTTTGCTTTTTAAGATAGTCTATAAATCTACACTTTTTCTGAAAACTGGTCTTAAACAAAATGGAACAAGTCAATATTGGTCTGTTTATCTTAATATACTATTTGCAAAAACTGTGTACAATTCATAAATGTACATAACAAATCATAATTTTGGCTCATACCTTTCATGGCCGTTTTTGAGAGAACTGTAGTGCTTTTCATCTATTGTAGAAAAGCAATGATAAGAAAAAACCACCCAAGTAAACAGCAGTGTTAATGAAAACATTTCATGTTACTTTGTTGCAATGCTTTAAATCTTTAAGAGTGACTAGCATCTAATTTCTCCTGACAATATATAAACCCTGAATCAAATATTAAAGTTGCAAAGATAAAGGAAATGATCATCAACTAAAGAAACTCTTTGATTGTTCTGCAAATTCTCCTTGTCAGCATTTTAGGAAATGTATCGAGAACTGTATAGAGAATATACAGACTGATCTTTGGATGTAAGGGGTTAAAAAATGAAACCAATGATATTCCTTTATGATTAACTGAGTTATGTAATCCAGCAAAACTTAGCATCTTGGCTGTGTCACAGACATGTGTCTGCTTTCTGATGCTTGGGATTTTTAATCGCATTTGAAAGAGTGCTTACCATAAATAATGGCATAAATGAACTTCTAAAATAGTTATGTATAATAAAATACCTATAGCAATTGGTATCACTGCCTTGCATGTCTGGTAGAAGAATTCAGGGCTAGTACAGACATCCTGTGGATAGAGAATTGAAATTAATCCTCTAGGTGTAAGAATTATTATATAAAGTTGTTTATGTCCCCACTCAATGGTATCATGTTCATGCTTTGACCCTTGAACTCCCAGATTAAATTTGTCTTTCTCCTTACTGTCAACCATACAATTCTTATGATGTTAGTTCAGAGAATTTAGAATTGGATCAACTAATTATCTCCAAATTGATATTTTTCTTTATTCTCATCACTTATCTGGTTGATATTGTATTGGTATTGTTAGGAGAAATTCACTCATGGGAGTTATAATAATAATAATAATAATATTTAATGAGGGAGCCCAACTCACCATGGCAGTTTTCAGTGGGAAATTAATTAACCAAATTAATTAAATTAATTACCTTAATTGATATAATAATAATAATAATAATAATAATAATAATAATAATAAATAAATAAAATAAAATGTGTTTATAAATTGGTTCAAGGAAGGGGTAAACGAAGATCATTGGAACATCTTGTGTTATATGAATGGACAGCTTGATTTTTGATAAAATTAAAGTTAAAGTCAGTTTCCCCAATCAGTCTTGTGGATTGCAATGCAACAATGAAAAAACCTTCTTGTGGAGAGTGACTTGAGATCTAAACTCCTCAGTGCTTCGGTTGATGAGCTTTGGGGTGGGTGCCCCAGCAGAACTTCAGCAGCTTTATCCTGTAGGATCTGTAATTCTGACATTATGGTTTCATTGTTGTTGTCCCCCCATATAACATCTCCATAATCAAAAAGAGGGAGGATTAGGGTATTGTAAAAATATTTACAGTTGTAAGACACACCTGAGGATTAATGTCCTTTGTTTTGTACTGGCAAAGAGATAAGTGTTTATTGAGTCTTGATGCTGGTATTCTGTGGCTGAAGTCATATGGACAGTGTATCAACTTTGAACTGTTGACCTTAGAAGAGAGAGCACTAATTTACACTCTTGTATGAACTGACTGTAATTTTGCATTAAAAAATCATATCTCGTCTTAAGGCAAATTAACACAGATTGTGAAGATTGGTAAGATTGTAAAATCAAAGTTCCAATATATTTTTTTAATCCAAGACTGGACTTTTAAACTTCTGCAAGCAAAAATATTGAAAATATTGTATACTTTAAAGTTGTCATGTGGATTACGATTTTAATTGCTGCACACGCGTGTAAGCTTGCTGAGTGAGAATAACAAAATACATGTATCTTGAAATTATATATTCAAGACTGGGTGCGAAGAAACCCACCCTTTCGCGTTCGCACAACATGTACCGGACACGGATGACGTAAACCAGAAGAAGCAAAGGGAAGCAACAACACAGTTGAAGGTTATAAAAAAACAATAGTGGGGAAAGATGTTTTCATTTGACTCTGCGCGCAGAATTGAACTAAGTAAATAAAATTATTTTCCTATATTACATTAAACAAGTACTCATGGCGGGCTTAAAGGAAATTCTCTCCAGACCTTCTTCAATAAATCTTCTTTTCTCCACTTAAAACGCGATAGAATTCTTTCCATTTCCGTTGCAGTATGAGTCACAAAGGAAGATATTTCCCGAACACAATGCTCCTTCTTCTCCGCCATCTTTGATCCTAACTATTGGAGACTGGCACGAGTTTATACCATATTAGGCATATGTCATATCCGATGGGAATTCGAAGGCAGAAAATAATATAGAGGAGTGTTGTTTAGGAATGCCTTGAAAATTAACGTTTCGTACTAACGGCGGTAGGTAATTCCAATCAAAAATGGGTTGCTGTGGCGGAAGAACCATCCTTTTCTTCATCTTAGTCCTTCAAATGGTACGTATCACGTTTCAAAATTTCTTGGCGTTGCATTCGGCCTGATTTGAAGACGTAGGCACGATAAGCTTATCAGGATACACAAGCTTATTTTAAGAACTCTTTAGAATAATAAACATTGATAACAGTGCCATCGCTGACTAATAATGTATTCTCCATTCGCTTTGTTTGTATAGCTGGTGGTTGTGGAGCGACAAGTTTTCGATTTCCTGGGATTCATGTGGGCGCCTATCATCGCAAATTTCATCCATATTGCTTTCCTCATCATAGGAATCTTTGGTGCCTATCAATACCGCTCTGCTTATGTTATAACGGTAAGAATTATTTGTGTGTATGTGGGGAAAAATTCACTAACTTCTAGCTGAGCGGATGATGATATAAACACTGAAGCCAAACACAAAGTTAACATTGCTTCAGCAATTGGTGTACAAAATTTTTGGCATGATTCCTTTGCATGACTCAACCACTTGCTGTTTCCATTGAGTGTACTTTTACACAATACATTTTTGTGCCGTGTAAGACCGAAAACTGCTCGATCCCTCCTTCTTTATTTCTAATAAGAATGACTAGACGTCTAGTAATTGTTGCTGAAAGATTTAGAACTTCGAATTTACGTCAGTGAGTATCTTCAAAACTTAGTCCTTCTGGAACTATTGATTTTCCTTGTACATTAGCGTTGTCACTGATTACGTCAGAAGGGGATAGATATTGTATTTAATGTTGTACCATCAACATCATAGGTCCAATTTTTATTACCTTCGTGAGTTACTGAAACGAGTTTTGCGTTACGTTCCAAAAATATCAATGTTATGCAAATCCTGTTAAGTAATTTGAAATACCCTATTGGCTGCTAATTTCCTCTACTATATTCCTTAAACATCATTTCCCTTTGAATACAGACCACAGCATGTGGTATTGTTAATAAAGAAGTTTGAATAATAATTTTCTTATGGTAAAAAATGTTGTAACTCTTTGCTAAGGATTTTACTTGTACTAAAATTTATTCATGATCCAGTCACGTTTATTTTAAGTACTCTACCATTTCAAAATTGTTGACATGTCAATGAGGTGAATTGTGCGTGAAAATTTGATTAAGATAATTACAATAGACAACATTTTTGCAAAAGTTCTTTTTGAATAATTTTGTATGAAATCATTAAACTTAGAAAATAGTCGATGAATGAAATATTGAATTTGGTTGAAATATCACAGTTTATATACGGTAGAAAAATGTTTTCATTTGAATATTTGGCATGATTTCTGCACAGCCCCATACTTCATTATGCATTCAGTTCTTGGATAAAGAAAACAATGACTGAAACAATAGATCCCCTAAAGCTTTGTTTTAGAATAGTGTTGGGTCATGTGCAAACCATGTATTTGTTGTGGTTCAATTTTATCCTTGGTTCAGATTTTATTCTCTTTTGTTTTTGGGTATTGTAATGTATGATAATGAGTTTGAAACAAGGGAAAATTAAATTTGAACCAAGGATAAAATGGAACCATGTCTTAATGTCTTTAAGCCGGTTTTTGGTACAAAGATATTGCAAGCTAATTTTATTTCTACATTTTAACAGAAAAATCTTTTTTTCTTTGCTATACAATTATATTTTGTAATTATTGTATATGTAGGTAATTTAGTGTTAACAACTAGGTTGAAAACATAAATTAGCCACCGTAAAGAGTAAAAAAGCTGACGTTTCGAACGTTAGCCCTTCGTCAGAGCACTTGGAGGAATTGTGGGTTGTGTGTGGGTTTATATGCAGAAAGTGGAGCTAGTCAGTCACCTAGTTGTCTTCCTGTTTCGCTGATGGCAGAAGACGAAGACAAAAACAGGAAGATGAAAGACAAAGATGAAAGACGAAGACGAAAGCGAAAACAGGAAGACGACTACGTGACCAATTCCAAGAACACCTTCATGATGTGGAAAGAAATGACAAGGATGCATCCAAACCAGTTGCTAGACACTTTAATCTTCCTAATCATTCTAAACAGCATATGGCAGTTTGCGGCCTTTCCTTATATCTAGGCAGTTCAGAAAGCCATAAAACACTAGAACAAAAATTTATCTTCCAAATCGGCACCCTTAATCCCCATGGAATCAATGGGTGCCTTTCATTCAACTAATTTATTCCTGTTTTCTCGTCACCATATTCCCACCAATGGCGTAGTCTGTATATAAACCCACACACAACCCACAATTCCTCCAATCACTCTGACAAAGGGCTAACGCTTGAAATGTCAGCTTTTTTACTCTTTATGGTGGCTAATTTACGTTTTCAACCCAGTTGTTAACACTAAATTACCTGCTATACTCTCCCACTGATGTAGCACCACAGTTTCTTTAGAAACTTACCCCTTTATTCATTTATTGTATATGTATATTACTACACAGATACTTTCTGATGGACAATGATAATTGCTTTGAATAATTAACCCCTCAACTCCCTTGAGTGACCAAAACAGCATTTCTCCTCACAATATCAGTACAATATTCAGCAGAAAAGTAATGAGAATAAAGAAGAAGATCAATTAGGGGACTACTTGTTGATCCAATACCAAATTCTGCGAACTAACATTATAAGAATTGTATGGCAGATAGTAAGGAGAATTACTGATGCAATCTTGAAGGGAAAGGGTTTAAAGGGTGAAGCAACTGTTAGTAAGCAATATATGAATTCCTGTTGATTTATTTTCTTCTTTTTTTATTTCAGTACTCAGTTTGGTGCCTTATTTGGTTTGGAATTAATCTCACTATCATGTCTTTGTATCTGGAAATTGACAGACTGACGCATGTAAGATTACAGCTATGTTTAGCTTAATATTGGTTTTATGAATTAATGTTATCATCATCCAAATGATTGTCGCCTAATTTTTCAAACTTCCAGCCTTTGTTTGAGGTTTTTGGGATTGTAAGTTCTTAAAAATGTTTTTTGATTATACATTTAGTGCATTTGTTATAAGCATGCAACAAATATTGTAATAATTAATGAATGCACGTTTCCTGTGAAGACTAAAAACCCAATCAGTTGCAATGTCAGGTCAGATGCTCGACTAATAACTGAGCTATAGGTATACATGCCATTTACATGTACTAGGTAGCCTAGCCTCGAACAATGTCCTGTACATGCTTTATAATACTACAAGGACCAGTTATAGTATGTTCAAAATTTCCCTTCTGAAGAGAAGGAAAGAATGATGGATATTTTTAAGCTGAGTTGTAATCTTTGGCAAGGGACAAACAAAATCTGATCTCTCTCTAATTTGCAAAGCCTTGTCAGGATATTTGGTTTTTCCAAAGGATCCTGTTTGTCTTGCATGCCAAGGCTAAGTATTGACAATAGTCACTGTGATACAAATGTGCGGAATGTAAAATGTTATTATATTTGTAAGTAAAATTAATTTAAAATGTTTTCTGATCTCTGGTTTATATGTAATTAACTGACTCTTGCCTATACTCAAAATTTTTCAAAATGTAACTGTATTTTGCTCTTTGCTTGTGTTAACTGTGTAGAAAGATGATTGGCTAAGTCTGAAAACTGGTCATCAGAGCTGGTGGGCAGAAAATGGCATTGGATGCGAAACTAAGTCTTCAACAAATGATGGTACTGAGAGTCCAACAGATGGGTGCTTACTTCTCTTCACAGTTAGTATACTGTACCTGCTATCCTATTGCATGTAAAATTCTCTCTAAGCACATAATTATTTTTGATGATTGTCCTCAATCGTTTTGGCAACTCTTTAAGGTTACTGATGGTGTTTTAAGAATGTAGGGGATTGTAAAAGTTAGATTCAGAGAAACCAATAAAAAGAGAAATACTGATGGTGAACAAAGATAAGATGATCACCCAAAAAGGTTGATTAAATGTAAAGAAGAGAGTTTCTCAATTGCCTGAATCCTTTTCTGCATTATGTTGAAAGAAACATAATTATTGGAGGTATTTTTGTTTGTAGTATGTGGAATCAGTTCAAGCTGCGGCAGAATGCATATTGGCAGTAAGTAAACAGCACACTTTGCACCACATACACAATAATTGTTCCTATTTTAGAATTAAATCAATTACTGAAAGCAGTGAATGGTTCTGATCAAATTAACTTATTTGAGTCTTTTTTTTTGGGGGGGGGGG